TTTTTTGGGTTGTTTTTTTTTTTTTGCTTTTTTTGACAAATAGGTGTGAACATATGGCAGCAGAGCAATTCCTTTGAGAGTTTATCAGATTCCCTGCTCACACACAAGCTGTCTGCAGAGCGTGTCTGACGTGCAGCTGTGCAGGGCTCAGGGATCTCCATGATCTCCAGAATATCCCTGCTCAGGAATTCAGGATGTGAGTGGTGCCGAGAGAGCTGCTGCATTCCTGAAAATCCTATGTTTTATCAAATAAATCTGTGTTTGAGGCAAATGCTGGCGTGTCCTGGAGTAAGGAAAGGAGAAGGATGTGGACATGGTATTGTCACCTTGAGTTGCATCTATTTATTTTCATTCTCTACAGGTTTTGTCAGCTCTGCTTCTGCCACAAGGACAACCAGCTGCCAGCCTCTGGATCTGCAGCTGGAAATCCTTATTCCTCCCCACACACAAGGACACATCTCAGTTCTCTCCTACTCCCTAAACTCCTCCAGTCTGGCCTTATATTCTGCTTGGCACAAAACCTTCTCCTTCCTTCCTTCACTCCACAGCCCTTCTGTGAGGCCTCCCTCTAATGCTGCTGCATTCTTGTTGGGCTTCAAGATGCAGCAGAGCTGCTGTGTCTGATGTGTAAACAGCAGAAGGAATTCTTTATCCTAAAATCCAGGTGGTTTGTCACCTCCCTGCTGATGTTCCCCTAAACATGCTCTCTATTTTGTGTGAAATAGGAAAAAAAAATAATTTAAAAATAATTTTAAAAAATTAAAATCATGTTCTCCAGCTCCACAAATTATCACTGAAGTTACAATATCAGTGAGTTTTAAATCCATTGTGTTAAAAAGAAAAGGAAATTTCATTAAGACAAGGTGGACTCCTCTGCCTCTCCTTTTGACTGCCAATTATTTCCTTCAAAAAAAAAGAGTCCCTTTTTATTATGATTGCAAACAGCAGTGTGTCCCTCTAGGATTTCAAAAATCTATGTTTTAAATAAAGTCAAGTAAGAGACTAAACAGAGGAAAGGCAAGCAAACATGAGAAATGACTGGTTTTGAATTAACAGATAACAACGTTTATTTGCTTACATAACCAAATGTGAAAATGCAAATAGAGTTTAGAGCTTTAATACAGCTTCTGCTGGTTAGAGATCTCCATCCAAAAATGTGTAAAATAATTTCACACTGCCAATCCATCTGCAATTGTACGTTTGGCTTGGCAGTTCATTAGTTCTTTTGAGTTCAAATGCTACAATTCTGCATATTTACAGGATTTTTCTTCTTGTATTATTAACAGCACAGGAACACCCAGGTACTGAGAAAACAAGGCAACAGCTAAAGCATTATCTCTGGAATAATGTAAATATATAATCATTCACAGAGACATCTCACTGCATAGTTTGCTTTGCAGATTGCTTTATTGCATCTCTTCATTATCTGGGGTTAGTGACAGGAACCATGAGACAGGCAGTCAAACAAATTGTGCCAGCATCAAGGAGGTTTCAGTGCTGGGAGGAAGAAAATGAGATGAAAACCAAACTACCCCTCCTGACTGGGGTTTTCAAGTACAGGTATTATGAAACATTAAATTGCAGATGGCAACCTCTGTGGCCTTCCAAAAACTAATATGAGATCTTTAACTAGAATTTGGTTCCTCAGACAGTGAAAAGGAGGGCGTCA